GTCTGTAACTGAACACGTCAACAGTGGATCAATGCTGAAAACAGTTACATGCACTCACTCACTCACACAGTAGAAAAACATCTTGGATGTTGACTGGGAAAGAGCTGAAGGGAGCACTTTTTGATAACTCCGTCCAATCTATGACTGTACTAATTCCCATGGGAATTAGTATCTGTTTGGTGTGTAGTGATGATAGTATGACTGTCCGTCTCCTGACATTGCATTGAATCCATCTCTATGGAGTGTAAAACAAGCGTGTTGACATCAGCAGTATTGGCATCGAGGTTACTGACAGTCTCTGTCACGGGGGCCGTTTGCGTGCTCAGCGCTTCCTCAATTCCCTCAAGTATCAAAATGGCACTGCCAGGTTGAAGACATTTTGCATTGAGCTTGTTCACTTTGCCAACATGCACCTCATTCTCATTCATGGCCTCTTCCTGGGCAGCAGCATCTTCGCTGCAGTCTTCATCACCGACTCCATTCTCCTGGACCACATGTTCCTCTGTTATCTCAGCTTTATCTTGATCTTCAATATCTGGTGTGTTCTCCTCACGAGCATCATGGAGTGCAACATCTTCTGCGGTTTCAAGTACCTTCTCAGCATCAGCACTGAGATCAAGAGTACCTTCATTTTTATGGATCCTTTCTCCTGGATCTTCTTCATGAAGGATCTTGTCAGTGGTTTGTCTCACTGTGCTACCCTGTTCAAGTCCAACATCTTGACTTCCCTTCTTCGCTTCATTGACATCAATCTTTTTCTCGATGACTTTGTCTACTGAGGTAACATCAACTGCGTCTTCGGCAACAGACGTTTCTTGATCAAGATCTTCTTCATTGTGTGCATCTCCTTGCTGAAGCTCGTCTTCAAAGAGTCCGTCTATCTGTGGAGCTAGATATTCACAATCATAACTTTGTAGATCTTTGGCATCTTCATCAAGCCTTTGCGTTTCTTTTGAGCCATCCTCTTCCTCAGTGTCTAGAGAACCAACAAGGTTTGGGTGGACTTCAACTACTAGTTTAATGCAACTCTCTCCCTCTTGAGGCAGCTGCTCATGGCCGATTCCGTGCTTCAGGTCAAGTGCAGTCTGTTCTGCATCACTCAGTCTCGACTCGGAGTCTGAAACATCTGTAAGTTCATTTAGAGGCCCACTGGATGTGGCTCCTGGACTTTGTAATGAAGGGAGGTGAGGAGCAGGGCTGTAAAGAGATGTATATCATTAGAAGAAGGTAATCTTAATATTACATAAGCAAATGCTTTATGTATTTGCAGATGTTTTTTTTTTTTTATACCTCTCTACAGATTCATATGGAACAGGGGTGGGCCATAAATCTTGGGCCCCATCCCCGTCCCCTTCCTCCTGCACCCAGCCACGGTTAGAGGAAGCATAAGTCAGAATGGCTTCAGTCACAGTGTAAGGGGTGTGACCCTGCACACAATCCTCAATGTGCTTGACAGGAAGCTGAGTCTGCAGGAAAAGATGGAGCTGGCTATCTGACAGGCATACTGTCATGTGCAGCACTCTGTATAGGAAGACAAAAGCAAATGATTTCAGGAATATTGTGTGTTTAAATGAACATTTCTGTACTATTTTACATGCTATTTTTAACAATGCCATTTTTTAAATGTTTGTAAGAAGCAAGCACTAGAAGATTTTAAATAAAAAGCTAGAACTGACTTTTCCAAGAAGCTCTGAAGACCTTTTCTCCTCCTTTCAATGAAGTCATCATTAATAAACGAGAAGAAAGACTTTTTCGGCAGATCAGGAACAGGTCTGTGGGAAATACAGTGATGCATTATGGGTTACTATAAAGATAAATAAAAAGGAATACAATGCAGAAAAAGTCCCTACTTTTCTGTGCAAATTGTTAATATTGCTTGCAGTAAATGTAAATAAAATTTAAACAGAATTTCTAACTGGCATATAAAAAAAAAGTATATTATATTTTATATATTCGAGATGCACTGGCTGAGACATATGTATATGTAGCTATACAGTCATTTGTTTGTGCAAAGGAACTTACACCAGACCAGCGTACTTCTGCAGTTTTTTCTTCAACCACACACACTCGCTGTATCGCCGCCTCACACAGGATGTTTTGGCAGTGAATGCTTTGCTGTTTGTCTGTTGACAGAAACCAAGTAACCAGATGAGATAACACAAGGGCACATAAAAAGTGAGCAGAAGAATAAAAATGCATATAGTGAAAGACTGATATATCGGCCAGTATTTGGCTATTAAGACGGTGATATAATATGGTGTCTGCTTATCTACAAAAGTTTCATGCATCTTCAAAATACCAGTTTCAATAGAAGCAGTTTTGTGTGCATTTTATTTGGTGTGCATTAAATTGCATTATGTACAATATATCAGACACAGCCCGTCCTGCCCTCTAAATATCATTATACACATAAATTATGTTCATTGAAATGCAATGAACTAAAAACAAAACCTCGTGTAGCAAGGAAACCACCATGAAGCAATAAGGATATAAGGACATGGCTGTGATTTAAATCAACACCAAAACTGGGAGGATGATTATAAATGAACATTTAAATCTGTTTTCATGTCTATTCATGAAGTATTAAATAAAAGACTTTGGTAGTTGGAAAGAGTCACATTATTAGATTATAATCTTGTAATATTAGAAGTCCTTGAGGCAAAACTACTCACATGAAGGAAAATTTTGAAGTCCACATACGAGTTCCACGACCCTTCGTTTTGAACGCGAGGATCCTGAACTCTCACAGCAATGAACTCCTTTTGAAAAAAGTTAAAGAAACATTTTCAAGACCAAAATATACAAATGTCAAACATTTATGACACCTTTAAAAAGGACAATCCCGCAGCCCATTGTTGTCAACAGCAAAACCTTGTGTGTCAAACCAGCTGTTTTGTAATCTCAATATCTGAATGACTTCAACCCATAAGATCTCACTGCTTAAGTGCAATATTCAGATCTGTCATTGCACATCACACAGACAAACTGGAAAGATTAAGAAAGAGATCTTACATCTTGCTCTTGGCTTTTGATCATCCTACCAGAGGGAACACGACACAATGGACATCTGTGGAAAAACAGTCACTACAACATGAGTCATCAACCACGACAACAAACATCCCTTATCATGCATGTTTTGCTAAGTTTTTTCTTTTCTTTTTTTTAACTTACATGATTGTGTCTTTTCTGTCTTTGTTTTTCCATAACTTGAGGAAAGCAAATATTTTCACAAATCCATAAAGGGAGAAATCAACAGATTCCTCAGACCTGGTGCTGTCTACTCTCCAAAACATCACTAATTGTTGATTTGAGTAACGTTATCTGAGGACAAATATCTCCTGACTTGCTCTTTTAACCCTTGTGATGAATCACCTGCCCCTCCTCTTCCTCTAAACGGCCATTAATCATGATTATTTGTCAGTTCTTTGGTTAATAATGTGATTTACCCGTGATTACAGAGTAAATGCTTTGAAACGACATACTTTTAGCAATCCTGTGTAGAGGGATACTTTGGCATTAGTGTGGCTTTTAACTCGTTAACTTGTCTGCTATCTGTCACAGCAGTTTTTACTCAAGAAAATAACTAAAAGATACATTTATTGGTATGATACTTACTGTAATAGTGCTCTATTTCCAGGTTGAATTGCAGGTAACGTTAGCGCAAGTTAATGTGCTCATAGATAAGAATGTCAAAAATAAAGTAAATTTCGTACCTTCACCCCATCCGTCCGTAATAAATTGTGATTTTTCTTAAATGTCACTTAGACTGTATTACACATACAGATAAAACAGATTAGAAGTATTAAAAAAAACACGTCAAAACATTATTGAGAGTATCCGAGTAACGTGATCAGTTTCGTTTTTCTTCAGCTGTGAATATATAAACAAGCTGAGGTGAGCTACTGCCATCTAGGGTACGGGTTGTTAGTCTGCTTATGAGTTATGATGCTAAAACAAGCAAGTGGGGTCACTAGGTTTTGAGCATAGACTGTAGGTTTTGAGACACAGCCAATATGTATTGCTTATCTTTTCCCTCTAACAAAAATACAATAGGTATTCTCTGTAGACTACATTAAGGCAAAATACCACAGGAGAATATGGTAAACATTTTAACTAATAGATAACGTACTTTCCCGTGTCAAAGAACATTAGTTGTTTTGTATTACAATTTTTCTGTAATGTTATGTTTATATATGCAACTGAGGCATTCACTAATTAAATATGTAGCCTATTATTATCAATTATTTCCTGAAATCTGGGGGAAGTTGCATAAACTTATCATCTGTTAAGAACTAGACTGACCAACTAGCTGTTAGCCAAGTATCTCTGTATGTTTGTTTTTGGGGGGAAAAAAGAAAAAAAAGAAAGAAACTAGCAGTTAGCCAAGGGGTAATCAATCATATTCTTTGGATTCAAATTTCTATGTAACCGACTTAAAGTTATAACCAGTCATAAAGAAAAAAAAAAGAGACTAACTTGTAAGACTATTTTGCAACTGGCCTGAAAAGTTAATAAAGGTTCAAAATCCTTGTTTAATGTTATTACTGTATTAGAGTTAAAGGTTTTAAAGAGGGAATTTTGGATGTGTCTTTATATTACTCCATTAATTGAAATAATTAAATAAATAGATAGATATATAGATAAATAAATAAATAAAAGGAATTTTTTGTGTAAAATGTTACATAAATCAGGCAAGTGATACATTAACAAACCTTAAGAATATAAATAAGAATAAAACTGGAAAGTTTGTGGTAAGTGCTGCTTAAAGGGATAGTTCACCCAAAAATGACAATTTTGTCATCATTTACTCACCCTCATGTCGTTCCAAACCTGTATGAGTTGCTTTTTTATGTTGAACACAAAAGAAGATATTTTGAAGATTGCTGGTAATCAAACAGTTGGTGGTTGCCATTGACTTCCATGGTAGGAAAAAAAATACTATGGAAGTCAATGGCAACCATCAACTGTTTGATCGTTTGTGTTCAACATAAGAAAGCAAGTCAGGTTTGGAACGACATGAGGGTGAGTAAATGATGACAAAATTTTCATTTTTGGGTGAACTATCCCTTTAAGTTGAGATTTTTGAGTAAGTGCATGAGACAAAAACTCATTCAGCGAAAACATCTATTAAAGATAGCCTGAAAATAGACAAGTTAAAGAAGCAAAATCTTAAAATCGACCAGTGTCTTAATAAACAATGGTTAGTCTTGCATAACAGACTTGCATAAAATGCTTATTTTGACTGGAAGGTGCAGAAATATATAGTAGTTTCTGGTATTATACTACCAGTATCTTAATATTGTGACACTGGTGCTGTTTTCAGTTGTGAAATACTGTCTGATGTTAGTAATGATGAAGGATCTATTCTACATGGCGTCTCAGTGGAGTGTTGCGTGTAAGAACTTTATCCGCTGTAATCTTCTTTAGCTTCTGTTGCATGCAGGTGGGGATGTCATATGGAGCTGTGCAGAGACAGACAGGGACAATGAGACATCGGTTTGATAGCTGACTTGAGCGTGCATTCTGGCTGGTGAGTTTATGACAATAAAAACATAGTGGATTATTTGTATACTGCCAAAATGTTGATATTTGTTATTTTCCAACACAAGAAATGGAGGACACAGAGGTCCGACAACAGAAGCTGGACAATCAGGTAAGTGAATGTCTTTTGATTAGACATTTACTTATACTTTTGTGTTGCATATTTTATCAGTAGGGTTTTCTTTCAATATTATTTTACCTTTGACATTATAGTCATGCAAAAGGTAAAAGCAGATCTCTAGATGTTCTGCTTCATTAGGTTTTGTGGATCTAATGGCATTACTGGGTAGTTATATATGTGAAGTGACATGTGGCCAAGTATGGTCGGAATTAGTGCTCTGCATTTATCCCATCCAAAGTGCACACACACAGCAGTGAACACGCACACACCGTGAACAAACACCCAGAGCAGTGGGCAGCCATTTTTGCTGTGGCGCCCGGGGAGCAGTTGGGGGTTCGGTATCTTGCTCAAGGGCACCTCAGTCGTGGTATTGGGGAGAGTGCTGTACATTCACTTGTTCCCCCACTCTTTGTGAGACTCGAACCCGCAAACTTTGGGTTACAAGTCCGACTCTCTAACCATTAGGCCACAACTTCCCCATCGTCTGATATCTGATGTTTAACAGCAGTTCATATCATGTTAATTCTCATAGCATTCGCTTTTAATCAAGAAACAACAAAGAAGAAGGGCAGATGCCCGGATGATCACAGCGAATCATGACATCCGTCCCAAGACTCGCAAACAGAAAGCTGAGTCTGACGATACAGCTTTATTGATAAGCCAATCTCAGAGCAACATTTCCCTCAGTGGTTTGTAATCACTTACTTTGTTTTATTGTTAACGCATAATGTTATTTATTAGTCATTATTTTTACAGAAAATAACACCCTGCCTATTTATTGTCAGACACACAGCCTGAGCAGATTTACGAAAACACGGTGGAAGAGATTTGTTTAGGAGAGCTGACCATTTCATCCAGGACAGAAGAGGCTTCTGAAGAGGTTGCTCAATCTGTTCCGGTCATCACTAAGAGAATCGATCTAGAGATCAGTCCACAGCACAGTGCTAAATGCACTTTAGACACAGAAGGCCAGGCAGATGGAAAGAAAACTAAGAAGAAGGGTGTTAAAAAAGGGCAAACAAAATGTAAGTGTTTTTCTGTCAGGACCACTATCGTCAAAGATGATTGACAATTAGTATACAGTTTGGATTGGCGGTATGTTTTCGTTCTGGGCAAGAACTCCCTGCGCATCCATGCAGCTTAACATGGATGAGAGCAGGGAGAGCAGCGATAACCCCCCCAGGGTAAACAGAACAGAACCAACATAAATGTATTGCAGATATCGTTAAAGTTCAATAATGTTATGTATACATTTTAGAATTAGTCTGATTCAAAGAAGAATCAGAAGGCTGAATCCCGACTGACAGAGGAGGAGTTGGGGATGGAGGAGGTTAATTAGCTATTGAGCAATGTGAAAACTGCTGATACTACTGCGGGACCTTATATATGAATGCTTAGATAGGTGTCATATTCCCGTAGGTTGATGGGATCAGCTGAGAGTCAGCTGATGCGAGCTTGACTAACGTGACCTGCCAGAACTAACGCAATGCTTGATTTTCTATTTTCAATGATAACTTTTGCATCTGCCTTCGCGTGATATGCCTTTACGTTTTGTTGAATTGCACATTCTAGTACTTGAGGCCAAACCTGCATTAGACGTGGAGGAAAATGAGGGGAAAGAGAAAAAAACAGTGAAGAAGAAGGCTAAGACAAACAAATCTAAGGAGAAAGTGAAGACAGAGGAACAGTCTTGTAAGTGTACTGGAGATGTGTCTCCATTGTTAGGCATGATACAAGTTAAAGGCCATTTCCTGTCACACAGCCCAGTGCCTCATCCATAAACAGGAAACATTGGCATTGTTAACATTCCAACTCGGGGTATTTTCCAGCAATTCAGACCGATTCAGTTGTGGAAATCAACATTAATGAAGAGAAAAAACCTGAACCAGAGAGCGAGGATGAAACAAAAGACTGGACAAAGAGCCCCGTCCCTCCAACACCAAAGAAAAAACAACATCCCAAACCAAGTATAAAATCTCGTGATAAAAAAATGACTTCATATGAACCTTTTTGTTTCATGATGGTTTCTTTTGATCTGGCCTGATTGGTAATATTAGTTTTCTGTCGTTGTAGTGAGATGTCATCTCAGTGACAGTGAGGAAGAAAAAGAGGACAAAGAGGAGGAGGACAAAAAGAGGGAAGCTAAAAATACATCAAAGAAGTCTAAAAAAGGAGCAAAAAATGATGACACTATTGCTTCTTTAAACTCAAACTATAAGGAGCCTTCCTCTGATAGTGAATCTTTGGACATGGGAAAAGTAAGATGTAGTCTAAATTCATTTGTGTAGTGTTATATACACTGTGTGTGTGTGTGTGTGTGTGTGTGTGTGAGTGTAAGCATATATTATGTATACAGTTTAATTTTCCATTTTAATTTGAAAGCTAATAAGTAATTTTGTTTTGCCCTTTTTATGAGTTAAACATGTCTCTATAGGTTTAGTTCTTCGTTTATTTAGATTTAGTTATTTAGTACTTGAACTTAAACTAAAAGTTTATTTTTTTGTATTTGATTTGATTTGATTTTATTATTTCAAGCAAAGAAAATGACATTTTTTTTATGGTTTTAGGTTTAGTTGAAGTTAATACAATAACCCTGATCTTTTTTCTTTCTTGTCCAGTCCTCTCCGATGTCTTTGGAGGATCTGGAACAGTTTGCCATGTGTCCTGCTCCAAGAGATGTGACTATTCAGTGCAGGATCACCAGAGACAGGAGGGGAGTGGAGAAAGGCATCTTTCCCACATATTACCTCCATATGGAAAAGGAGGATGGGAAAAGGGTTAGCAGAAGTGTGAATAATAATGAGAAAAATATGAGAAATAATATCTTTTTCATTGCTTAACATATCATTGTTCTCTTGTCCAATGTTTCGAATGGGCAGGTCTTTCTGATGGCTGGCAGGAAAAGAAAGAAGTGCACAACCTCGAATTATTTGATATCAATCGATCCTACCGATTTATCCAGAGATACTGAGAGCTACATAGGCAAACTAAGGTCAGTACCATTACAGTGCCTTATCACAAATATTGTTTGCAATTCTGCCCATGCTAAAATGTGTAATTTGTCTCCTCAGATCAAATGTCTTGGGGACTAAATTCACCGTGTATGATAATGGCGAGAATCCAGAAAGGAAACCATTCATTAAAGAAACGGATACGCTGCGACAAGAGCTAGCAGCAATATGTTATGTAAGATGCTGACTTTGTGCTGTTTTTTCTTTAGATGTCTTTAGTATATACTGTATATATATATATATATACACACACATTTATTATGTTTTAATTGCAAAAAAATCTTACTTTGTTCTTTACTGTCACACAGGAGAAAAATGTTTTGGGTTTCAAAGGACCTAGAAAAATGACAGTAATTATTCCTGGTATGCATGAGAATGATGAGAGAGTTGTTATTCAACCAAAAAGTGTGAGTATTATGTTGTTGATCACTTTTTTTTTTTGATAATCAGTCGCAATATTACGTTTCTTCTTTTTGATATATATTACCATTCAAAAAGTATTTTTTTATGTTTTTGAAAGAAGTCTCTCATGTGCCAAGGCTGCATTTATTTGATCAGAAATAGAGTGAAAATTGTAACATTGTGAAATTTTATTACAATTAATAATTGTATTGTAATTAGTAAATAACTTTTGTTGTTGTTGTTGTAATATGTTTTAAAATGTAATTCATTAATGCGATGTCAAAGCTAAATTCTCAGCAGCCAAATTCTCCAGTCTTCAATGTTACATGATCCTTCAAAAAAATTATTCTGATATGCTGATTTGATGCTGAAGAAACGTGTTTTTTTTTATCATTATCAGTGTTGTGCTGCTTAATGTTTTTTGGGAAACTGAAATACATTTATTTTAAAGATTTTTTTGATGAATATAATGATCAAAAGAACAGCATTTATTTGAAATAGAATTCTTTTGTATTCTTTTAATGTAACATCTGACCAATTTAATGCGCTCTTTCTCTATAAATGTAGGAAAAAAACTGACTCCAAACCTTTGAATGGTAGTGTTTTTTATGTCTTGGAAATTTTTGTCACACTTCACTCAGATTAAATCGAATTATGTGTTTGGTTCACTGATTAAATCAGCTGTTTTATATATATATATTTATATATAATGAAAATGAAATCTCTTTTGCATGTCCCAGGAGCTGGAGTCTCTGCTCACCCGATATGAGAATGGAAACAAAGAGAATCTTGTCACCCTTGTAAATAAATCACCCAGCTGGAATGAGCAAACTCAGTCATATGTGCTGAATTTTCATGGCCGAGTTACTCAGGCATCTGTGAAAAACTTTCAAATTGTCCATCTAGATAATGGTGAGCTATTCTTTTTACTCATTTTGTATTTGTAGTTGCTATATTATATCATATACAAAAATATTACAATTCCTAATTCTAATATCAGTGAATATCTCTCTCCAGTGGACTACATTGTGATGCAGTTTGGGCGGGTAGCTGAAGATGTGTTTTCCATGGACTACAGCTTTCCCATATGTGCTCTCCAGGCATTTGCCATCACTCTGTCTTCCTTTGATGGCAAACTGGCTTGTGAATGAGCGTCATTCATCAGTATTTTCTGTCCTTTCAAAAAGGGAAACTTAGCGTTCATTTAAGATTTGAATGTTCTTGCAGTCATTTTAATGAACTTTAGATTTTTGCTATTATCCACAAATTACAATGTACAGTAGATCATTTATCAGTTGTACTAATTATGATTCTACAATTAGACATGCATGAATTTATTTTGTATTTAATCTCTCTTTAATTGTTCATTTCAATTGCCTGTTCTCCAAGTAAATAATTTAGCTAGATATTTTCATTTCCTTTGTTTACATGAAAAAACAAAGATTGACATTCCTTGTTAAATAAAAACCGATTGAATTTATATAAGGCTATATTATACAGTTACTCTTCATAAAGTTACATTCACCATCTTACAGACCTTCATTACGCTTTTGCTTTCTTATTGAGATATTTGAGATCCGAGTGGAATATTATATTTCGCCATAGTGAAATCATAAACATAGTAGGCCTATATATCATTCCAGCGGGGGGCAGTAAAAGCCTTGATCGTTTTTCATACCTCTGCAAACTAAAACAGAAGAAGAAAGCGACAATTTCGCATACATCTACATCGCCCCATTTTGAACTCCATGCATAACTGAAGTTCATCCGTATTATTTTTATATCGTAATTTAGGCACCTCAGCGCCCATCAACAATCTGCTCTGAAAGTTATTTGTGGAAGTTGGGTGGCGTGAAATGTGACTTTGAATGGAAACTCCCTCTTTTCGGTTTTGAGTTTTGCAAATTTGAGTTTGCAGACAGATGAGCTACGCCTCTTAAGACAGGAACTTTTCATCTGAGTTGGATATAAGATACAACGAGAATGCGGGACCGGACCAAAGAATTGGGCAATGTGAGTATAAAGTAGGGCAGTGCACTCAGGAAACCGGCTAGCGTGCTAACGGGCTAACCCGCGGATACTGTACCCACAGCTGCAACTGTGATTTATTTACGCTTTCACATATTCGCACGGCTCGCAGTATGCTGCTCTGTGACTATTTATGTGTCTTTATAGCGATTATTAAAAAAAAAATCATCAGTCAAATCCCACAAATTGGAAGCTAACACCCTTCTGCACTACCATCGCTATAGTATTGCAGTGTAGGTGGGGTGTAACTCTATTTAGTCTACAAACAAACTAGCAGCCGAGAATGTTTGCAGTTGATTCAGTGATTTTTTTTTTCAGCCCAAAGATTTATAAATGACTGTTGAAATGGAACTCATTTCAGTCATATTTAGCACTGTTAGTTAACCGTTGGATATTTCACACCCTCAAGAAGAAAAGTTTAATATCACATCCGTTTATAGCCCTGTTTCTTCCCACAAAACGATGTGCTCTTAACTTAGTCTTGACACTTTTCCCCTCATTTGTAACACACGAGTAAGTGAATTAAACAGTTTATAAATAAATATTTCAAACGTATAACAAATTCTTAATGTGTACTTTTTTCTTCTCTTCTTACTAGACTGCTGATGCCTCAGATGAAGATGAAGAAACCACAGCTCTCATGATACAGCCCGGCTCTGGGAGCTCGGCAAACGAAGAGAAAGAAAATGAGGCTTTCTTTAAAAAGGTTTACATGCATTATTAGGGAATTGTGGGGTTGTTGTGTAAACAGCTCCAGAAATGAGTCACTACCTCCAAACTCACAAATACTTGTGACCTTGTGGCATCAATTGCTCACCATGAATAAAAATTTGCAGAATTTAATTGTGTGGGTTAGGATCGCAGTGTTTTCTGAATCAAACTTAATAATACCCTACTTTTTTCTATATAGGTTCAAGAGATTCGAGAGGGACTTGAGACAATTAAAAAGAAGGTGTCTGAATTGGAGAACAAACAGAAAACGGTGTTAGGAGTCGCACTTCCAGAGGAAAGTGAGTTGCTCAGCTTAGGTTTGGGTATTTTTATATTTCAACACATTCCTATGAAATAAAAAATGGTTCTTCATGGAGATTTGTTTTTCCGTTTAAGTTTTATGATCCAACAAAATGTTTAAATCAATAAATATATTTAAAAAATCTCCTTGCCAATAGGTATGAAAAAGGAACTGCAGTCCTTCAGAGAAGACATCAAAGTCATGGCCAGCCAGATCCAAAGGAAGTTAAAAAGTGAGACTGATAAATAAACATAGGTGGTTGTTATTGAACGTTTTCCGCTGGACCTACTGGATGTGAAAAATTAAACAATACATTTGTCACAGGCATTGGACCTAAGAAATCTGAAGGTGAAGACAAATATATTCCAATAAACGTTAGAATGCGGAGAACCCAGGTCAGTTGCTTTTTAATGCGTATATTATAAATATTTGTAAATATAATACATGAATTGTACATGTACATTGTTTTGGCTCAGAATAATCTGCTCCTCCCTTTTTTCCTCAACATCCTTTAAAAGCATGGTGTTTTGTCCCGTGAATTTCTGGAAGTGATGGGTCACTATGATACAATTCAAGCCCAATACAGAGACAGAAATGTGGAGAGGATACAAAGACAACTCAAAATCAGTATGTGCTTTTTCGGTCTTGCTTTAGTCTATTGATAATACTAGCATTATCACACAGGTCTCTCATAATAGCCTTTTTAAATGTGCACCATGTAATTTTTTCCCCCTCATTTTAGAGTTTCCATTTGTATGATCCACAATGCTAGGCGTCAGTACAAGTCCAAGACTACTGCAGTATTAGTCAGTGCAACATAGCTTTCTTTTGCATTATTTCTACAAGATAAATAAAACTAATGTGAATGTGGTTTCTGTTACAGCTGGTAACAATGTGACAGATGAAGAGCTAGAATCCATGCTTGAGAGTGGACAAACTGATGTTTTCACGCAAAATGTGAGTGTGTTGTATTGTGTACTGTGCATGCTTTGTTTTGAATGCACAAGTGTAAGTCTTGCATTGTGCCAATTGATATTCAGTGCTTTTTATTTCTTCTACAATTACCTGAAGAAAACAGTCCACACTGGGGGTTTGTGATATCATGATTTTTGATTGTGGATGATTCAAATATATCCACGATCTGCTATTGAAGAAATATCGTAGTATCGTGCTACAGCGCACATTCTATAAGTTGCAGTTCTGCCGCCTCCATCTGAATACTGTACAATGCGACATACATTCACATCAAATGTTATCTCAGCAGCAGTGTTACACTCATAGGACACTGCACTTATTTGCAATCCAAAAAGTATATTGTTTGTCTCTGCTTTTATAGCTTTGCCGGTTAAACATTTAATTCACGTGCTGTTCTGGCATGCGCTTTTTTTTTTTTAAACGCGTAGCCTACACCTGAAGCGCGTGCACACTAAAAAGCCTGTTAAACAGTGTCTGATTACTGGACTAAGTTTTCTTTCATGTCTGATTGCACTAATATTGTTAAAAGGGTCATATGACGTTGCTAAAAAGAACATTATGCTGTGTATTTGGTGTAATGCAATGTGTTTATGCGGTTTAAGACTCAAAAAACACATTATTTCCACATAATTCACATTATTGTTTCTCCTCTATGCCCCGCCTTTCTGAAATGCGTCGATTTTTACAAAGCTCATCGGTCTGAAAAGCGAGGTGTGCTCTGATTGGCCAGCTATCCAGTGTGTTGTGATTGGCCGAATACCTCAAGCGTGTGACGGAAATGTTACACCCGTTAACATACTGTGATGCCGTGTCCTGGCGCGACGAGACAACACCAATAAAACCAATTATAAAGAGGCATTTGTTGCATCCAGTGGGGACATAATTACCCAAACAAAATTTCGCTTTCACAACGAAACACAGAGCGTCACACACGGCGGCCTAGAGTGAGCAGAGGCCAGGGGCTAGAGTGAGCGGAGGCCAGTGGGCTTGAGAACGGTGCGGCCGGCGGGCTTGTGGCAACCACATGTGACGACCCTGGGCTGGACTCCGCTTCGATCCGGCAATCCACAGCATCAAGTTGATGTATTTCCTCAGTGACCAGCACGGATCAGCTCAAGGCATGACGAAGCAGATATCGTCCTCTTTTGGAAGGCCAAACAAGAAGAAAGAAACTCATTCAGGTTTAAAACAGCTTGAGAGTGAGTAAATGATGAGAGAATTTTCATTTTTGGATAAACTATCCCTTGAATGCAGGGCTGCACCGTGCGGCGTTTGGCTGCGGGAAAAAAAGATAGTCGTCCTACATTTAAAAATACTTGTTGATATCATGTATGAGTTCGCCTACCAATGTATGAGAGGAACACAGCTTTCACTCTACCAAACTAACATTACTAGCCAATCAGAAGTTTTTGCTCTTATAAACACGAGACGCGCATAATAGTATCCAATTGCAGAGTCGCGGCTGATGAATGGAAAAGAAGCCTGGGTCTCGAGCGCGACAGATTGAAAAAGCTGCGAGGCGCAATGGTCAAAGATTTCCATCCAGCGTCATATTTACATAGAAAAGCTATTAAAAAAGCAGCGGAGCTTTGTAAATACAGTTTACAAAATATCATGGGGGAGCAATCGGTTCCCCATCTACTGTAAAATTTAGCTGCGTTTCCTCATCACACTACAGCTGTTTCCTCCAGCAAAAATGAAACCGCATACTTTATGAAACGATCACGTTGCCATTTTCATTTGAAAATTTAACTTTCAATATAATACATATTACAGTGCATGTGCAAAGAGGTTTGCATACTTGAGCTAAAGAAAGAGGGTTGTACTAGAAAAGCAAACAGTAAAATGTTGTGTTTGTAACTACAGTAAACAGGTGTGTGTGAGATCAGGAAGGCTTATTCAGTACTCAAATGTTATACCTATCTAAGCAATACAGTGGAATACTGCATTAAGTTTAGTAAACCATCCCTATTAGTAAATTTTTATTATCTTTTTATATATTTATTATTATTTTTTATTATTACCCTCATTGGGGGCTGAGCCCCCCTAAAATGAAAATCATCCCTGGGCAGAACAAATTTACTGGGATTTTTTTAAAAGGTCTTGTTCACACATGATCTCTTGACAGTAATTTACCAGTAAAGACTGTATATGCCATTTTGTTTTATTAGTTTATTTATTAGAATTTGAAAGATAATAACAACATTGATAAGTGAGATCTGATTTTAGTCCTTGAAAACCGAAAAAGTAGTGCAAAAAGAAAAAAAAATGCAAAATTTTATTTTGCAGTATCTGTACGAACCCTGTTTAAGTTACCAGTTCTTGGAACATTT